GGAGAATTCTAGAATGGAGACCAAGGACGACAACAAGAAGCATGGGAAGACCTCAAAAAAGATGGGTAGATGACATAAGAGCGGTGGCAGGCAAACAGTGGATTAGATTGGCGCAAGATAGAGAAAGATGGAAGCAATTGGGAGAGACCTACATTCAGGAGTGGATGGAAAATGGTTGACAAAGAAGAACTGCAATTTAATTTTTACTGCAATAATGGCACAACGCAAAAGTTCCGGTATTGCATAGAAACTTGATATCAACACGGTTCGACTTACACTGCACAATTAAAAGGGCCAGTACTACAAGGAACAACATGTCAGCGACATTAGTGACGACTAGCGGATATTTTTGGTATTATGATTGTGCCAGTTTTGCAGGTCATAAATAAGGCTTTTTAAAGCCCTCTGGTGATGTTAGCTCAATTTTTGGGTTAAGACACTATTACATACAGCCGACAATATAAACATAATCAGCTTAAATTCAGTTCTATTTTACACTACATTCAAGAATGGACTACCTAAGTCTGCCGTCACAATGGTCAGGGATTTTAAAAATTTTTCCAAATATTTCTAATTTGTGTGTATTTGTCCCGTAAGAAGTTGGAAATATTGTTTTTTTTTAATTGTTTGAAGAATAAATAAGGTCTTTTGGTTATCGATACATCTGATGAAATCATAGCCACGTCTGTTTATATACCTTTAGGAACTAAGTTATTTAAATGTGCTTAAACAAACATACTTATCAATAATTAGGAATGTAATAAATATAGCATACACATAACTTTCAGATGTTTCATTATCAATCTTTAAAAATTAATATGATAAGAGTATAAAAACATTGATTACATTTCCTTTGAAAGCACTCACAACAACATAAATAATTTTTTATATAATTTGAATACAGACTAAAGATTCTATATTCAAATTTAACTAATTGTACAGGGTGTCACAAAAATATTGCTCATAAATTATACCATACCACGATTTTTAAGTCGATTTGGTCTAACTTTAGGGGAGAGTTGGATAAAACCGGATATCAGTCAAAAAACTGACTGTATCTTGTGCTATGTTAGAGTAGTAAACGTTTGTGCAGATTGAAATATTCTCAAATGACTTAAGTTTGATATACCAATGTCAATTTTTATAGATATTCTTAAATTTTTTATTTTTATGAAAATATTGCAATATAACCGGTTTTGTCCAACCGGTATGATAAAACCGAGTAGTAACTTAATTACCATGTAAAAAGATTAATGGGTAGTAAATAAAACATTTATTGAAAATATGTGAACAAAAATCGAAAATCTATGAACAGAAGTCACAAATAAAAATTTTCATCTACATCATCATAGGCACTAAAGGCTTCATGAACATATTTGTTTATCGAGCACACATTTTATCCAGCTTTAGAATTTCAAAAAAGCAAGCAAATTATTTTAACCCAGTCTATGAGACATGTTCACCCCTAAAAATTACGTTCGGGTGTAACAATTCATTGGAGCGAAGTGTATTCGAGTTACAAACAGCAGTCACTCCACCGCGCTCCAATGCTCCCGACCATCCCTTTCCCGCCTATAGCACTCTGATGCGCGATAGGGGCACTATCAGCCAAATGCTCTTCATGCATGAGTCCTGGGTAATAGAACTGCAACATGGTACCCTATCCGATTAAAAATTCAGGCTAGCGTTAGTCCCTTTACTCCTGTTATCTTCATGTGACTTATCCGCGAAACTAAAATTGTTTAATTGGGTCTCCGCTCTGGGCTAGGCTTAGTTCGGCAACTTAGTGCTCAAGAGGTTGGGCCATATGTGCCCGGGTTTCTATGGTTTTTGTTAATATTTTATTGTTGGCTTTCGCCGGTTTTTGTTAGTTGTTTTTATAATTTTTTTGGTAGACAAAACCGTTTTTGGGTTTTTTTATGATTTTTTTGTAGGATGTCCTGAAACATAAAATCAGAATTAGTGCACGTATGTAGGTAAATATAATGAATTTACCTGGGCATACACTGTGTTGCGCTTGTCCACTAGCCTTAGAATTTGAAAATAGTTCATTGTATTTATATGCATCAACGCGTCGTCATTATTATCTACTTCCTCTGAACTCTCAGAATCTGCAATAAGTGATTTCGGAAGCAATTTTGTTTTTGGTACAGCCTTTTTTACCACGTTTTTTCCTTTTTTGTCCGGTTCATTTAATATTTTTACGACTGGAGATTTTTTAAAATTTTCTTTTAACTCAGACTTGGAGGTGATGTTATTCTAGCAGCCTTTCCTTTTCTCCTGTTATCGTTGGATGGCTTCCTGGTTTCCGTGGGGATCGGAAAAACCTTTTGGAGGGACTAAAAAAGCACATATTTGTTTTGGTAATGTTGCTTGTAAACTATCAGATTTAATGGTGGCTTGTTTAGGAGATGAAGAGTATGATTTGCAGTGTGGGAGTTTAAGGAGCTGCATAAAACGAATAACGGGCTGCGTAAGGGGGCCCTCTCTCCTGTATAGTGTCCAATCTGGCCCTGGGAAAAATAATACGTATGTTACACATCACAACCACTAGTTCAATATATAATAAATCAGTGCAAATCCTGGCGTATGTTGCATTAAAAGAATCAGCTACAAAAATGACAATGAAAAAAAAAAAAAAACGACGTGAACGAATTTGTATACCTGATAGCTCTCCTTAACACTGAAAATATTACTACCGAATAGATAAACCGCAAAATTTGCATGGCCAGCAGATGCTATTTTTGGCTCAATCTCCTCCGTAAATCCACAATTATATCGAAAAATACAAAAATAAAACTCTACAAAACAGTAATAAAGTAATGAAAATATGTTGGGATGTTTCGAAAGAAAAGTACTAAGGCGAATCTATGGAGCAGTGAATGACAATGGAGTATGGAGAAGACGATACACCTTCGAACTTTATAATACGAGATATCGTGAAACATATTAAGATAGGACGTCTGAGGTGGACAGGGCATGTAATGCGAATGGAACAAAATGAACCAGTTAAAAAAACGCTTCGTGATAGACCCATTGGTCAGAGAAAAAGGGGAAAACCCAGAACAAGGTTCCTTGATAACATCGATGAAGATGAGAAATATGGGATAGGGACGACTGGAGAGAGAAGCTAGGATTCTGCAGCGTTGTAAAGCCAGAATGATAATGATGATGAGTTTAAGGAGCTACAGCTTGGTTGGGGAGAGTTGATACGATACAGATTGGTTGGGGAGAATCGATAGGTGGAGGTAACGGAGCTTTGGGTGTCGTAGATTCATCTTCTTGTATATTTAGTTCTCTGCAGTTTCTGAGGGAGCAAACATCCACTCAGGAAAAACTTTAGGATTAAGTGTATAAATTCCAGACTACCTAAAACCATTTTTAGCAGTTTGCATAACTGCCGATTTAACAAAAGCCCCACCAAAGAGTTTTCCCACTTCATGTCTATCTAGAAGCAATAGAACAGGATTTTCTGGTGTCGGTTGAGTAAACTCGATAAACTGTTTAAACCACTTAATAAAAATATTTGTTTGGATTCATCCACTTGGGTTAAACTCAGCAAATGTTCCCAGGAGATGCGTGGTTTAGAAGCTGTGCGTTTGGAAACTTTCTAGAAAAAATCAGCATTGTAGGCATATAGGAACCACTTGCGCTCATACATATTTCGGCGGTAATCAAGGTTCCTCTTTTGGTGGAAACCAGAGCACCAATTTGTCGTTTTCCTCTCATAGAAATAACTTTAGACTGCTTGTTGAAGACAGTTGTAATTCCCGTTTCATCAACATTCTATTTGCGCTCAGGAGGAAACTTGTGTGGGTCATAAACTTGTGTTAACAGAGTAAAAAACTTTCCCACTGCTGCTCGGTTAATTTCTATAGCTCGTCAAATTGATGTACCTTCTGGAGTCCTTAATCGAAGATTTGGATGCCGTGAGAAAAACAAATAAAGCCAACACTTACCAGCCATCATTGTGGTTGATATTATTCTGTACGGCTAGTTTGGAAGCAAGAATTCTTAGTTCAGGCAAAGTAAATCCGAGTATTCTGCTTTTCATTTGTAATATATGCGAAGCTAGCTCATCCTCTTGGGCAGCGCTAAATACAGGCTTGTACAGACTCAGACCTCAAATTATGTTTATTTAAAATAAGAAAACACAAATAAATTAAAGGTAATTCCTACCCTTCTTACTAGCTTCTTCAACAGATTTACCATTTCTTATTCACACGATCTTCCAAAGTATATAGAAGAACATTAAAACTTTGAGGGGTTTTTTTGTGTCCCATCCTATGTTTTAGCACTTCAACTATTGCATTTTGCATGTTTTCTTGATCCCATGACCGACGAGTAGTTTTTCTTTTATAATGTGACATGTTGTAGTTAACTAAAAGCAAAAGAACCGCTGCAGAAATTGGAAGTAACAACAGGTCTGATAAAATGGGGTACCCGGTTTTGTCGAATTCGTAAACGATACCTTAAATATTATTTGAATTTTTAGATTATGAAATAATATTTAAAATTTTTGGCCAAATTAAAGGTAATGTATTAGGTTACATATAATACATGTTGAAATGCCCTTTCATTAATTATTCAGTAGAGAACAAAAACTATAAACTTACCTTAAAAATCGAGTTTGCTACACGAAAAACCAGGCGAGGTCTTACTGCTCCGGCACAGATTACTCAAATGAGTAGAAATGAATACAAACGACTGTTGGCGCTTTAGGGATACTAATTTTAACATTTTCTGACAGATAAAAGAATTATGAGGTACCCGGCTTTATCCAACTTTCCCCTATATGCAAAAGTACACCCAGAAGTAGATAGGGGGTGGTAAAGATACAAAATAAAACCGAATTTATGGTATTAAATGGTATATGGTATGGTATTAAACCGAATTTATGTAAAAATATATCTTTTGAATTGAAACTTATAAATTAGATCCTTATTAATGAATATGTTATTTCAGGAATTGTACGTATTAATATACTTTTTTCCTTCCAGCAACAGATCATCAACTCCTCCTCCAGTTCCTACGATCTACAACCCACTAAGTTTAACAAACAATATCCCAAGTTCCATTATTCAGCAGACGTTACCTCTTATCAACACTAGAAGGGTATTGAGACCTCGGACAGAGCCCCGGTCGTACGTGGAAAGTCCTGACGCCCTGATTAATGGTTTACTTGAAAAGCCCAGAACTAACGGAAATTTAGAATACAGCAGTGATTCTAGTGAAGGAGAAATGCCGCCTTTAGCACCCGTAAAGGAGTACAGCCCCGGAGAACTTAAGCAAAGGTAACTGTTTAATGTTGACATTACAGAAACTGTATCTAAATATATCACATTTTTACTCGTGGGTAGCGGTATTATAAAGCTGAAAGAACATTTGCGCATGTATATTGATTACTATAAAAAGGATCTCAATCTTTTAGAGATTATAGTTAATTGACAATTAATTCTTATTTAAATTCAAATTAAATAATTTTTTGGTAATAAAGTTGTTAGTACTATGGTCCCTATCATGCCATTGAAGTTCTTTTAATAAAAGTAAAAAAACTAGTTGTAGATATCTTCTTCAATTGTCATGTGCTCTTAGAACATTCACAACTAATTGAATGATCGTCATTTTATTTGATGCAGCCCGGAACAGTCATCATCAGATATCTTTGGCAATGCTTCTCCATGCTTTAATTGCAATAGATTTTAAATTGTCCTCTTAAGTTGTCTTGATAAGACCATTTTATATGTATGTGTCCATTGAATTCTGGCAGGCAGCTAGGGGAAATCTGTTTTTAGACATCTAATGCTACTGAGCAAGACACACTGACATCTTCCGACCGAGTATGACACTAGGCCAAAAGACACCAGGGTAGTGCCGGATTAACCGTGTTCCGGCTAAAACCTTAACCACGGTTCCAGAGTAGTGGTCTTACTACTCAATAAAAAATAAATCCATATATTTACCGTCTCCTTAAAAGAAGAAAACAACTAACCATTATCTATCACCTAAAAAAAAGTTTAAGAATCGCCTATTACCAAAAGAAAACAAAAAAAAAGAAAATATTTCCGTGAGGCCATAAACTAATTTTGGTACTTACCGATTCTTGGCTCTTGTGAAAAAAGAAACGAGATTTCAGATCTCTGGTTCAATTTCCTCCTCTGTCCCCCTGCTTCTGCTTCATACCCCAGAGATCAGACAGTGTACTTCTCTCTCCTCTCTTCTCTCATGTTTCTTTCATCCAGCTTGAAACCCAAACGCCTCTCGAAGTCTCCCCTCTCATTTGCCCACCTCTGGCAGTTGAAAAGGTGAGCAAGAGCGTCCGGTACACCACAAACAGTACAGTCCGCCGAGGCAGATTTGTCTATCCAATTTGTGAAGGTGCCAAAACTACCATGTCCGGTTGGAAACAGCGTCAGGAAGTAGTTCAGTTTTCTGAATTTCCACCACCACGGCCTTGGATTGGGAATAAGCTCCTTCGTCCACCTTGCCTTTCCGCTATTATTCGTCCGTTCCCTCTGCTACTCCTATTATTCTCTCTCTCTTCCTCATCTATATCTCCATCCACCCTCCTTGTATACAACTTCTTTCGCTCTTTGCACAACAAGGCGATTGGTATCACCGCTCCAATGACTTTGGGGGGCACAGTAGGTCACCACCACCCTTATTTTGGTGCTACCTGGGCCTCCAATGATCGGCATTAGCCGTACCAACGGAATCCAGACGTCAGTTCGCCTTCTCCGTCGTTTTTTGGACGTGTATTTCGAACCTCAGTTCTCCTGACAGCCAGACTGATCCGATATAACCGGTGTAACCTCCACCCCTTCCACTATAAAGCAAAGAGAGGATTTGTACCGGCTCCCTTCGAGAACCTCAGTTTCCTGAGGTGCTAGCTGTAGATCGTTCTCTATCATGCACATACTAATACGACTCAGGGCTGTATTAGCCATTTCCGTTTTCTGACTCACCTTCGCAACCAGTGCGAGATCTTAGTCATAAGCTATAATATAAGAGTGCATCCCCTTGGCATCTGTAGCCTCAGCACCCCATCGTGCATGACACTCCACAAGGTGGGACCTAGTACCTAGTACACTGCGACAACCTGATGCTGGTATCTTTTTCCCTTAGGACCTGTATCAGATGACCCAGAGAAGTATCTGTCAATCATATTGATCAGGTACGTACTAACGCCCAATTCTGCCAGCCTGGAGATGATTTTTTTCCTATGATTTTCCTATGATGCCGTGTTAAAGGCATTCTTGACGTCAAGCAGGATGAGAGGCACCCATCTCTTTGTATCCTGCGTCACTAAAGAAGTCCCTTCCATCCTCTTATTGTATTCAAGCCTCTATTATCATGGTAGGCCAATTCCCATGTACATTTTATTGTTTCACATGTTTTATTCCATCATTCCACTCTATCTTGTGCTATTGTCTCTTAATTTCCATCCATTCCAGATCTGCTTAGGTCGTTTTTGACTCCCTGTATCTATCTGATTTGGTCCTTTCCCCTTCGTTTTTCCCTATCTTATTCATAACTATTCTTGGTAATTCTTCTTTTCCCTTTTCTATAATTATAAAATAGATCCATTAATACAGAAAAATTTTGCTCTTCTGTAAGTACCTTTAACACTTCAACTTGTATGTCATCTGATCCAGGGACTCGTTTTTGGCCAATTTTAATAGTTGTTCGACTTTATCTCTCTTGATAACAAAACCAATAATTATGATTGATGTTATATTTTGACCGGCGTTGAAAAGACCTGCTCTCCCATTTTTAGCATTTCTTCAGTTTTTATTAATAATTTGCCACTTTTATTTGTTAAAATTCAACTGTTTTTGCCTCTGGTTTGGAAAGATTATTGTCTGATCAATTAGATCAAGAATTTCATTTGTCATCCATAATTTAATTTTTTTACTTCAGTTATAATGATTTTTATTCGCTCCGTGCATGACCATGGTAGGGGTACATTGAAACGATGCCAGCGTGCGTAGCTGCGAAATATGACAAAATTGGAATATTAGACAAAATATTTTTACGCATAAATTTTATCAAAAATGTGTGGAAATACATGTTGCGTATTTAATTGTGCTAATAATAGCAAAAACAGTGAGTGTAGTTTTTATAGGTTCCCAAAGATTACATATAAATTAAAGAAAAGGAAAAGATGAATTCGTGCTATTAATATGAAAAAGTAAATATGACATAATTTCATTTTTATGCAATTGAAATAGGAAAAATTTAAATAATTTACCTTGAATATTTCATAAGGCTTCAAGCTAACTGCAGACGAATTTAGCTTTTAAATCATAATTTTACTATTACTGTTTTTAATTATATGGTCTTTTGCGTGAAAAACTTGATTTGCCAGTACTAGATTTTTCTCTTTCTTTTCCGTTTGGAGTTGAAAAGATATATTAGGATGAATTTTGAGAAACCCAGTTTTTAATATTACATTTATTTTGTACATAAACTGAAAAAATATAATTAAAAACTAATTTATTATTAATTGTCAATGTCGCATGTATTTTACAATGTCAAACATATGTCATATATTTAACCTGAAAATTGGGACTCCAAAATTGTCAGTTGAAGGCGGTAGGTGTCGCGTCAGTCACGCACGGAGCGATTATTCTATTTTACTGTGATGTGCTGAAAATGGGAATAAATGGTTTCGATCTCTCGACGTATAATCCAAAGTGTTTTGATACACTAATATTCTTCTTTTTGTCTGGCGACCTTAGCATTCTAGATTGGGCGAAATAGTTACAAATACCTTTTTATTCCAGGGAACGGGGCTTAAGAAGACTGCGTGAAGAGTTACGAGCAGAAGAAATGAAACTGGTGCTTTTGAAAAAGCTCAAACAATCTCAGCAACACAAAGAAAATGTCGCTGTTTTGCCGCCAAATATACCCGCTTCGGCTTTGCCACCTACTGGTCTACCAAGTGGTTTAAGTATCACACCGACGACTGTAAAAGTTCCACCTAAAGCTCAACAGTCGCCACAGATGGCACATTCGAGACCTATTTCAAACATGTCTCATAAAGCGGTTAATATGTCTGGTAATGGAAGTGGAACTCCGCAGAATATGATGCGACTGGTAAGTAATTTCAATTAAATTAACCATAGAGGTAATGGATTTATAAATGTTGGTTTTGGTGGTCAGGTTTTTCTTAAATCGGCAATTTTATAGCATTACTCGTAGTCATATAACCAAATAAAAAAATATCTGTTTCTCTAGCACTGTTTGTTGTGGTTTTCTATGAAATCAAATAGGTAAAGATACATCTTGACAACACTGACATGATCCGTCCACATGGAACACGTTCTAGTAAACTATATAGAAATGCTTTTTTCCGCAAATCGCCAGGAAATTTTGACATTCCTGTCAAAATTTCTTGAAGAAAAAGTCAGGACTTCTTTACTGTAAGGAAATGTCATTTCCTTACTGTAAGGAAATGATATTTCCGTACAGTTGTTAGTGTTTGACAATTCAACCTCAATACGTTTCCATAGTAACCCAAGTAATTTTATTAGGGACCATTTATTTGGGAATAAAATTATCGCGTTTTTTTTAAATCAATCAATATCTGTCGAATTTTAAACGATTTGCGGAAAAATAGTATGTTTACCTCGTAGGAAAAGCCACATTCCTGGACTCTGTGTTGCTAAGTCTCGGCTTGCGCCTCGACTTAGCAATCTTCACAGTCGTCCAGGAATGTTAAGCTTTTTCTACCCGGTAAACAATGTACTATTGTCTCGTAGTCTCGTGCTGTGTAATCTGATAAAAGATGTGTGAGATGCGTTACAAACTTTTAAGACCACTCTAAATACATTTTTGTGTGGTACACATGGGTTGCCAAGAAATATTTGGACGATTTTATTTCGGATAACCCACGTGCACCTCACATGGCCTACGGTACGGATATGGAATAACCATAATAGTGATAACAAAACATTTATTTTTATAATTTTTTATGTAACAATTATGTGTTGCAGATAAAACAATCACAGCAAATAACATCAGAGCTTTTCTGACACTCAGAACACCTTGTTTTTAATTGCTTCGTATTTTTCAAGGCAATATTTCTGTTATACTTGCTACCATACTTTTTATAGCATAGATGGCATCGTCCCTTTTTTTCAGTTTTATGAAGTGTATGCAGTAAATTATTAGCAACTTGGACATATATTTTTTTATCAATTACTGGACCAAATTTTCACACTTGTATGCGGCCATACGTTTTGTAAGAAGTTTGATTAAAATGTTTCGGTACCACTTTACACCCTTATAAATTGTTGAAACTGTTTAATCTGTTTTGCTAAATTCACCCAATTATTCACAAACTCCACGAACACCTGCTTGGTTATATTCGTCTCCGTTAATTTTATATGTCTCACTCGTACTGCTGTTAGATCGAGACTCTCAATCTTTGCCTTATACCTGTAACAGTAAACAAGGCTTAGTAAATACACAATAATGGAATTTTTTTATTTTGCCACTCCTATCGGATATTGAAAAGCGGATCTAAAGAGTTCATTCGCGGTGCAACCAAACCACTCTCTTTCAAATTTCGTGACCATGGCATTCTTCTAAGAACCGAATTCCTTTTCCCTTCTATTTTCATCTGCATTATATTTTGAAGTAATGCGTATTTTTGTCATGGCATTAGGTGGCTCAAGTATCCGAGCTTCCTTCGCTCTATACGACATAGTACTTCTACGTTTGTGACTCTATCGATTCAACATATCTTTAGTATTAGATGGTAGCACATCTCTAAGCTTTGAATATTTTTATTTTGTTTTATTTATTTAAGAATCCAGGCGTCTACTCCATATATTAGGAGGTTAAATACATAGCCTCTAACGTTCGTACAGGGATACTTGTGTCACTATTACAGAAGAATTTTTTTCAGCTTAATAAATGTGGTGACCTGGTTGACCTGGTGAAATGAATGGTTGACCTGGTGAAACATGATAAACTAATAGATATTTTAAGGTCATGTAATATCGACGATAAAGACTTAAGAATCATTTCAAACCTCTACCAAGAACAAAAGGCTAAAATCAGAATAAAAAGCGAAACATCTGGAAAAATCAATATCGAGAAGGGAGTAAGACAGGGATGTGTCCTATCACCTTTGCTGTTCAATGTTTACTCTGAGAAGATATTTCAGAAAGCTTTGGAAGGCACCTCGGATGGTATAATTATAAACAGGCAATGTATAAATAACCTGCGATATGCTGATGACACTGTCATACTGGCAGATAATGCTGAAGCCCTGCAACGCTTAATGGACCGAGTAAGACAGCCTGTAGAGAATTTGGAATGAAATTGAATACAAAGAAGACAAAAACGATGGTCATCAGCAAGCACCAAAACAGAAGGGTGAAGGTCAATATCGACGAAACAGATCTGGAACGAGTAACAAGAACAACGTACCTTGGAAGTAATCTTGATGAAACTTGGGACCACTCACTAGAGATAAGAATACGCCTGGAAAAAGCACGTACAATGTTTTACAAAATGCAAAAAGTTCTATGCAACCGCCAGCTGGGCATCTCATTGAGAAATAGAATACTTAAGTGCTATGTTTTCTCCACCTTGCTCTATGGTGTTGAAGCCTGGACAATGACAGAAGCAACACAAAAAAGAATCCAAGCATTCGAACTCTAGTGTTACCGTAAAATGCTCAGAATATCCTACATGAGCCATACGACAAATGCGGAAGTCTTGCGGAGGATGAATAAGGAAAGAGAGCTTATGCTTATAATAAAAGAACGGAAAACACAATATTTTGGTCACATCATAAGAAATCAAAAGTATGAACTGCTCCAACTTATAATCGAAGGCAAAGTCAATAGCAAAAGGGGACCAGGAAGAAGACGCAACTCTTGGCTTAAAAACCTACGGCAATGTAATGGCCAACGTCCTTAAGGATAAGGCACCGTAAGAAGAAGAATAAATGTGGCCTTGGTAATTTCGATACGTCTTTTTATTTGAATGTTTTGGTCTCCACTTTCATTTAAGTTCCCAAACACTTGTAGTTTGATACTTTCTCAATTTGAGTGGCATTTATACTTAAACTGAAACAGGATTAACTAAGCAGATATGCGTAGGTTATCAAATTGTACAATTTATCGTAATTTTGTCAAAATACTTAGCAATGTTCTCACCTCGCGGTTAACGCAAGGTTATTTATAATTATTGTGGTTTATTTCCGAAAAAATATAGTTATGCGGTAAACTGATATGGATATGCTAGAAGAAAAATTTACGTGTAATAGATATATTATTTTAAATCAATAAATAGTTTACTCGTCAGACATTTGACGTCTAAAAATTATACGAACACGCTGAATTTTATTGAGAATTTCAATTTTGGTACCTCAAACAAGATGCAAAAATGTTTGGTAATCCCGGGCTTCCCCTAAAACCCCACCCCGTTGTAGAAAGGAACGGAAAACACCGATTTACCAAAAATGTCGCGGAGAAAAAACTGTTTCAAACAAATGTAGGTTTTTGAACAAAAATGTTGTTTAGAAAACTTTGTCTGTACCTGGTGGTCCAATAAGCCGATGTCTCGGCTATATATCGGAAAGTATTCATGTTATAACTTTAGGGTTATAAGAGTTTTCTACTATAAAAAATTTTGAAAGTACCTACTGACTTATTTTTTAATTTATTTTATAATACAGAGTGTGTCAATACTATACTTACTTATGTTTATGCGTTTTTATTCATATCTCGAGTTCAATAAAAGCAATTAACATGCGGTTTGCGCCATTTTGTTACGAATTTAATCCAGTTCCATTATAATTTACAATAAATGGATGTTTCCATTAAAAATTTTGAAGAAAAACAAATTTTAATTTGTTCTATTCGAAAGTACCCTCTACCTACGACAATTAAAATTAAATGCAATTATTTTATAGTAGATGTAAATTATTTCATCCATACTCTTTCTAATGACACTAATTTTGTTAAAATCGGTTGATCCAAACCAAAGTTATAGGTATTTATCCACAAATGCTTTCCCACTCTCCCCCACCCTTTATTTGAAAAAATAAAAAAAAAGTACTTGAACAACTTTGTGCAGAATTTATGCCTCTCTCTAGTTTACTTATTTAACACTTGGTATAATTGGACATATTTCCCAAAAAACTGGTTTTCAAAATTTTCTTCGCAGGTTACGCCCCCTAGTGGTTAATCCAGAATCTTGAAAGTTATTTCCAGCGATTTCTCTTGGCCACTTTTACTAAGGAATTTTTTCTCCTAAAGTTATAACATGAATACTTTCCGATATATAGCCGAGACATCGGCTTATTGGACCACCCGGTACAATGAACCGTTCTCACAGAAACAATGCTTAAAGCGACGACAATTTTAAAAAATGCCAGACCCGCGAAATCAATAAATTAAATAAAATTTGTATCAAATCGACGGTAAAAATTCGATATCTTTTGATCAGAGTGTCCTATCGACAAAAATTAAAATGGGTATTAACACTTAGACTGCCGCCATAGTGAAAAAAAGAGGGTCCTTCCAGCCGGACATATTTCTATCCCATATAAATAACATACAAGCGAGAACCAAAAGCTGATTCTCGCGGCAACAGAATCAAATTGGCCGTGCATCATGGCATGCTTCTCATGGCAGTCAAAGTGTTAAAGGTGAAGCATGCAGTTTTCTTATCCAATTTTTGTATTTTGCCGCAAATGAAGTCAGTTTGTATAGAGCTGTTAAATAAATGAAACGTTTCGCGATGTATCCCATTTTTTACAATTCTCATGAGATCAATAAAATGTATCCCTTCCATTGACTGGTCACTGTAGAATTTCCATTGTTAGCGCTTAATATTTAAAAGCTTTAACACGAAATTTCGATGTTGAGTTTTGGCAACGAATATGGGACATTTGAAATATGCTTAAAAAACGCTGAATTTAAACTTTTGCACTACAAACGATCCCACGCCACGGGAAATATTTTGAAAAACGTACTTGTGCAATCGAAAAGAAGAAGTTTTAAACGATTTAGATTATTTGTAATGTGAAAGTTTAAATTTAAGGCATAATTCAGGCGTTTAAGGCGTTTTTAAGGCATATTTCAAATGCCTCATATTATTTGCCAAAATTCAAAAACGAACTTTCATGCTATAGGTTTTGAAGATTAAGCCTACAAATGGAAATTCAATAGTGAGCGGTCAGTGGAAGTGATAAATTTTTTTGATCTCATGAGAATCCTAAAAAATGGCAAAACTCTCACAATGTTTATTTATTTAATAGCTTTATAGAAACTGACTTCATTTGCTGCAAAATCTAAAATTTGAGCTGTACTCTTCACCTTTAAATCCTATTTTAATTTTTGTCAATAGAGCTACTCCGATTAAAAAATATCAAAGTTTTACCGTCGAGTTAACCCTAGAATAACAACGTGAAAGCACGTGAAAGTAGGGTTACGATACTAACAACGTGGTGTCTTATATGACTCCATAAGAACTGGCCGTACAGTATAAGAAAAGTACAATATTTTTTAAATAAACTGTGTTTATTTCTAGTTTTAAACATATATATTTATAAATTGTATACAAAAATGTTTTTGCATAAATAAAAAATGAGAAACTTAAAATAAAACTGTGGTACTGAATAAAAGTATAAAAAAATATTTACGATAGTTTTTTGACAAAATGCAACAACTAAACAATTTTTTTTATATGTAATGACACATAACAAACCAAAGGATACACTTTTATAAAGAAAAAGTAATTTACTTGCAGTCACTTCAAATGCACAGGCTGTGTTCGGCGCAGACCATTTTCGGGCAGTGCTCACATTTATCGCGCGCTTTTCGATTTTTGCTTCTTGGGCAAAAGTCACAGCGACCCGTTGAACCTTGGTGCTTTTATCGTATTATTTCTTCATCTTTACAATTTAAAGGGTCTTTGATTCTGCTGCGGATTTGTCTTGGCAAGTGATTATTATACATTCGTTCTTTTAAACAATCTTTAACGAAGATGAACGACAGCTCCTTTAGAAAGTTTGATCGAGACAGAGGTTTATTAACATTTAGTTTATGTATGACGTAACTGTTGATTCCTGCAATATCCAACATGCCATAGAGAATTCGCAAAGGCCATCTGCAAGTTTTTCTGGCGACTGTTAAATGGCAGAGTTCATCAAACGTATCAACACCACCTTTTGTACTATTGTAAAACAAGATTATCTCTGGCTTTTTCGATTCTTCATCTACATGATCTTTAGTATGCATAGACGATAAAAGAATGACGTTTTTATGTTTTTTTTTTGAAAGAATGATACTTACTAAAGTGTTTTTCTCGTCAAAAGCATATAGAGATGATGAAACTTGTTTTTCTTTTGTTTCAATTAGTTGTGGTATTTCTGGCTTGTTTTTTCTAAGCGTTCCCACTACAGTAATGCATTTTTCTCTTAACTCTTCCGATACGTGATACGAAGTCAATGACGTATAATATATAGACTCAGTGAACGCTTTAAAAAGTGTCCACAACATGAATACTTTTGTTATTGTTTATTGTTTTGATACGAAGATGCACGAAGTTCATGATTTCTTACGAAGCATCACGAAGTTGATCTTGTGTTTGAAAACATTTTCGCCATTTTGTGTGTTTACATATTTTATGTGACAAGAAAATTTTATTTTAAATTGTTGAGAGTTATTTACTTACTATTTTAGTAAAATGACATACTATTTTATAAAAATAATTTTTTTTTATAGACGGGAACAAAAAAAAATCATAAATATTTAATTTACATACATTATATTTCAAAAAACTATATCGTTGTAATATCCAGCATTTGTTAGTACATCAACCAAACATTTATATTTCCTTTGTCATTTCTATGATAGCACATTTTTGTAACGTTTTGTTTTAATTGAATTATTATGTAAAATTCTTAGCAACAACCTAATCCTCCACGTGCCAGTATTCATGGACCTCCTTTAAGTGCGTCACCAATAAACAATAGAACCAACTTATCAGTTCCTCAACCTCCCCAGAGGTCTTCTATGGGAAGGCCACCAAGTGGCTTTCCTCCAGGAGTTAAGGATTTATCACCATCTGTTACTATTACTCCAGCACCAATGCAATCTAAGGTATGTATGTTTTTCATTTAAACTGTATATCTTGTTTCAAATGCTTCACTTTTTGCTGATAATAGAAAACAGTAAACATTAGTTTTACATTAATTTGTTAATAACTAATGAAGTCCAAAAAATCGACTATAGGAAACATAATACAGTATAACCTACCACATCTGGATCAATGTGGCGACCGACCGAACTGGATATGAAAAAATCCGGATATCAAGACTATTTAAAAATATGTAGCTGTAAATGACCTGAAATTTTTACAATACATAGTTTACAGCGTTTTAGGCATATAAGATGCGTCACATTATGGAGTTTTCCAGCTGTATTTCTGTTCTTATATACAAAAATTAAACGTTTATAAACTTAGTACATACATACTATATTATGCTCCATACTAAAAACAAAAGGTTACACAACTTACACATTAGTTTTTGAAAAAATTGGTTATTTTCTGCTGCTTTTCACACTGTACACGTTTTTTCGAAGCCATATCTTTCATCCTTTTTAAGAGCATCACGTCACTTGCACAAGTGCCTTCTTGACTTTCAACGTAGCATAGCAGAGCCTCGAACAACTTTAATGCTTCGGAGTGGCTCATTACGACCGGATTTTTGTCAGGGCCTTCATCTCATTCGTTGTCTGAGTTTGTGTCATCGTTCTGACACACCATGCTAAATATATCGCCGTCTGTTAATTCGTTCTGTTCGTCTGCACTCAACCACTTGTTAACATCATCTTCCTTAAATTTTTCACATCCCGGCAGGTTCTTTACCAGTTCAGCGATCTCTTCTTGATTGAAAGTTTCATTAATACCTTCCCCTGTTTTTCTCCCGTCCACTCATCAGATGTTTTGTGGTCTAACAGCTTCCTCCATGACCTTACCATTGTTGTTGGTTTTTTGTCATCTTATGCTTGTGTTACTCACATTACCACATCCAACATGTCCACTTTTTTTAGAATATCTGTAACGTTTTCTCGTTTATCCATTTCAGCAATCAATGCCGTCAGTAACTTTCGTCGATAGACACGTTTTATAGATTCTATAACACCTTGGTCCATAGACTGTCAGAGGGATGTCAATTTGGGAACAAAAAAGACACTTCGCCATCTTTTAGTTCTTCTGGGTCGGGATGAGAGGGTGCGTTGTCCAACAGCAGGACTGCCTTTCTCGGTAGATTATTTTTTGCTAAATGTTTTTCAACCTTAGGTACAAATCGATTGTGAAACCACTCTTTGAATAGAAGACTGTTCATCCAAGCACTCTTTTGATGACGGTACAGGGAAGAAAAGTCTCTAAAATTTTTGAAAGCCCTAGGTTTTTTTGACTTTCCAATAAATCCTAGAGGGAGTTTGTGAGATCCTGTGCGTTGCTACAGACTAAAATTGTCACTCATTCCTTTTTCTTCTTGAATCCTGGTGCACTGTCTTCTTGTTTTGAGACTAGAGTGTGGGTCGGCAGCATTTTATAACTGAAACCTGTTTCGTCACAATTGTAAAGCTGGTCTCCAGTAATTCCTTCTTCTAGTAAGCTGTACAAGGTCTTTTTGAAGACTTCGATAACTTCTGGGTCAGCAGACAGTTTCTCACCACGTATCTGTAGCTTCCACACACAGTATCAATTTTTCCAACTCTCCAACCATCCTTCACTTGCCTTGAAATCATTATCACCTCCAATTTCGTTGTTGAAGTGTAAGGGTTTTTTTAATATAGACCCCGAGATTGGTTAATCCCTGGTGACGAGCACCATTTTTCAATTTTGTTTTTAGATTTTTTCCAGTTACTCACAGCGCTAGTCCCTACACCCATCTCAACAGCAATTTTCTTAGCCGTTTAACCAACATCGAGCCTCTTCAACGCACGAAACTTTTCTTCCTTTGTTACAACATTTTTCTCGGCCATATTACTACAAAAACGATGGACAAGTAGGTAGGTACGAATCTTAAAAATTTCACGCCAAACAACTTCCACTGCTCAAGAGCAAACAAAGACTGAGACAAAACAGACCCACACCCACAGTCGTAGAAAGTCAAAACGGAGAGAGTAATTCAAGGTCACATACCACGCTAGAAATACACCCATTCGTAGAGAACTACATAGCGCAGAGCCGTTCGTATCTACGCAAAATTTTGTTCCGCGAACTGTCCGGATGCGACAGGTCTGGATGTGGCATGTAAAGACTGTTTGTTATATAATAGGTTATTGTAACAGATATCGATACTACTCAAAACAACTGGTTTGCCTTTACGGTTCAATGTCACTGTTCAATTACTGTGTCCCATATTTTCGTGGTGTAGCTAAATAGTTTTATGGCCCTGTAGTTTGTACATTGGTGTATATCAGGGTTGTCCAACTGGCGGCCCGCGGGCCGCATCCAGCCCGCGAGGCTATTTTTTGTGACCCACGTAAGATTTTCGAAAAGCATATAATTTCTTTAAATGCTGCCACTGTGAAAAATGATTTTTTAATTTATTTTATATTTTATGGTTTAGCAGTGTTTTTCAATATACATCAGGGAGCTTTATGTGGAAAATCAGTCAAGGAAGATCAAGTTTTCCAAAGCGTGATTAAGATTATAAATATGATTAGAAGTGGAAATCGATCTCTTTTACACAGAAATATAAAGTAGTGAGAAAAATATTTAGTTTTCATCCTGCATTTCACAAATTGAACAAGTTATTGATGAATTCAATACAAGATTTAAAGAAATTGAAAGTCTCAAAAGCAGTGTACTACTTTATAATAACCCTTACAGCTTACCCCTTACACCTTTATAATAACCCAACTTACAGCTTGAGTTATGTAGACATGTTCCCAATCACCAGACAAGAAAAGGGACCTGAATTTTTCAAATTTCTGTCAAAGGAGAAATTCCCAAAACTGCGAGATTTTGGACTGAAAATGACGTCAATGTTCGGAAGCACATATACATGTGAAAGTGCCTTTTCCATAAAATACCTAAAAAATAAAAACAGTACCAACCTTAAAGATTCTTCCTTACGTCATCTTATGAGAGTGTCTACAACTGAACTGGGGGTGGACATTTCTTCATTGGCGGATGAAGCCGATCGACCACAGTCCTTACACTAATTGGATACATCTTTTTCGTTGCTTCTGCAATGTTTGTCTTGATTATTGAAAAGTGTTATCAATGAATTTTCCGTTTATAAAAAAATGTAGTTGTTGGGCAATAAAAGAAATAATTTTCTTTCTCTTTTTTGTTCTAATTATTTTTATACCTCACTTTATTTTGTTATTATCTGTAACAAAATTATTATATGGCCCGCAACAACATCAAAGGTTTTAGTTTTGGCCCTTGAGGCATTGCAAGTTGGACACCCCTGGTGTATATCTATCTCCCTTGTTTTTGTAAGCAGGTACTAATATACTGCTTTTCCATTCGTCTGACATTTGTCCGACTTCTATAAGTTTGTTAAAGAAACCTGTTAATTATTCTTGTCTCTCCTAATGCTGTCCACACTTACCCAGAAATATCATCTGGTAAAACTGCTTTTCCTATCTTCATAGTTTTAAACCGCTTATGACAGTGTAGACAGAAGCGTACTTTATAATGCCATGGCAGAACTAGGTATTCCGTCGCATCTAAGAAAATTGGTAAAGGCAACTCTTTCGAAAATTGAGTGCAAAGTCAAGGTACAAAACAGAGTGTCAAGGTCTTTTTAAACACATACTGGATTACGCTAGGGAGACAGTCTATCGTGCCTATTGTTTAACATCGCGCTAGAAAGAGTCATAGAGAAATCGGCCGTAACAATTAGAGGTACGATCATCAAAAGTGTACAGATATTGGCCTATGCAGATGACATTGACATAGTAACACGGACAAAAAGAGACATGATACAGGCTTTTGAAACATTAGAAAAAACCGCAAAGACAATGGCACTGCAGGTCAACGTATCCAAAACAAAATACATGAAGATCACGAACAGCACACAAATAGCAGCACCACAAGATCTGGTGATAGAAGCACACACATTCTAAGGGGTCTCGGAGTTTGTATATCTTGGAACACAACTAAATAACAGTAACCTAGTAAACGTATAAATTAAGAGAAGAATATACCTGGCGAACAGAGCTTACTTTGGACTACAGCCGTTCTTAACATCACACATAATTAGCAGAAAAACAAAGATACTAATATATGAAATTCTTATTAAACCTGTCCTGACATACGCGTCAGAGACATGGACTATGGTAAAAAGCGACGAAGAATTGTTAGGCCGCGTTGAAAGAAGAATACTTAGGCACATATAAAGAGGAGTACAAGAAAGCGGAATATAAAGAGGAGTACAAGAAAGAGCCCGTAGGAACCAGGAAGAGAGGCAGGCCAAGATCTTATTTATTTAAAACTCCACTCGAAGATGACTTAAGGAATCCAGGGGTCAGAAATTGGAAAGCCAGGGCGAAAGATAGGGGAGAATGGAGACTAATTCTTGAACATTAGACTAAAACCCACCCAGGGTTGTAGAGCCAAAAATGATATGATCATCTGGTCCAACTGCTTTTCCTTTCTTTATTTTTTGAAGTGCTAGAACCTGGTTAACTCAACTGGTTTTCTGTCAAAATTATTCATTTAATAAACTGTCAACGTACTTTTTCCATCTCTTTTTGACATTCTTTACGTGAACTATATTTTATTAATTATATATATAAAATAGGCCAGACATAAATTTTCAACAACACAAATTCTTCAACAGTTCCTTTAACTTTGATCGCTTGCTTCTGTTTGTTATTTCTATTTGTGTAACATTCATAAATATATTATTCCACCATATCTACATTGTTTTTATGTTTAATTATTTATTTCTAAGTTAACGTAACAAAAATAAACCACATAAAAAACATAAAATAAATGCAAGCATTGGTACTTGTTTAGTTGGTATCAGGTAATTAGTGTACTATTACTTAAATTATCAATAGCCACGTTTCTAATCTATTGGTTTAGACGGTATTGTGTTCGCAATAATATTATTGAAAGAAATAAGACGTACACATAGTTGAATATTAATTGGAACCCTAGCTGCATTTAAAAACCAAATACAAAATAATTTATGATATTAAATTATACTGACACCGTTAAAGAAGTACATTTTATTAAATTTTAAATTCTTTTATTTTAACGCTGCTCAGACTGTTAGTGGAGTAGAAAACAAAGGAATAGGGCATGCCGGATCTATGCAACCTAACCTTATTCAAGAGGTAATTTGTTATATCTATTTTTAGGTACTGAGACTTAATTATAGAAATAATAATATATGTGTAGCTGTACTGTACGTCTTAGGAGATCTAAGTGTTCACAAATGGGCCCTATATAGACATAGAATTTTTCATATAAAAATAAGTGCACGTAATTCAAGATTTACGATGTCAGAACCCCACAGCGTTGCCAAAACATCAAAATAGTAAATAGTGAGAAATTTTTAAAATGTCAACGATTTATTTTTAAAATGAGTAAAAAAACTGAAAAGTTTTATAAACTTAATAAACAACATGCTAATAATAATATTAATATATAATTAATGAATTGACTAACAAACCTTTTACTATCTGTTATTGTGGTTCTTACACTTCTTTTGTTTTCATTTTGCCATGAACGACATATTGTTTCATTTTGGCAGATCCATGTTTCATAAAAAAATAAACTTATAAAATTCTCTGCATGCCGTATAATTACTTAAAATAAAGTTCTGTTTACTGCAATATTAGGCAGTTCCGTTACTCTACGCCTTGGAGAATCTTTTTTCGTTTGAAACCGAATTCCTTGGATTGAAACTATCGAACATCTGCTTCTTAACCAAGTTGCCTCTTAAAATTTTAAAGTTATTTGTTTTTCTACAAAGAAAACACTGATTTAATAAACATTTCTTATGAATAATCATTATGTCTAAATTTGCTAATTTGTCACCGTTCTTACTTGTTTTTTACATGTCGTAAATACCACCACGAATACCACTGACATTCAACTCTTCTTTATTAAGATCGATTCAGACACATCAGTCACGTCATCGTCACGGCACCGAACCGGTCCTGTTTGGTCACAGAACTATCAACTATCTGACAGCTGGCAAACTGTTTGTCAACTGATGAGTGTGAATGCTGGCGCCATATTTGTATTAAAGAATATTTTGTATGACGGATTGTTCGGTTCGGTGCCATCACTGTGACGAGACGTGACTGATGTGTCTGAATCGACCTTTAGTTTGTCTTTTTGTAATACCGTTTTTTAGAAGGCGATTTTAAAAGTTTATTATTTTTAACAGCTTGAGTAATATTATTAACAATAATATTATTACATATTAGAAATATTATTACATATTACTACATATTAGAGAAATATTATTACATATTAGAATGTATATTTTGTGTATTTTCATCTCATTCAATGATCTGATTGTAGTATGTGTTTTTCAGCTATAAGCTGTGAACGTTTAGGATTCTTAGCAGTCGGGCGTAGAGGGCAGTGGCTCACACTAAAAGAATTCCTGGACCCTTACTACAGTGGTTTCCCGTTACTGTCTACATCTCTATAGGTTAAACTTATTTTCTTTTATTCGCTTTTCAGGCGGATAACATGGTTAAAATAGGAATACAAACCTTCCAAAAAACTTTCAATAATTTTTCAAGCAATATAGTTAGGACTAAATTTTTTAACGTTTGTATTTGTAATTTAATAGATTACAGACAATTAAATGGGACCTATTAGAAAAATACCATTTTTAAATGATTTTAGAGTAGTCAAGATGCGCGCAAGTGTATTTGTGATTGAGTTATACAGATTAAACATATAAGATTCTTAAAAGAGCTAAATTGAAAACTTTTTTTTACAATTATTAAAAAGTACAAATAATAGCAAAGAACTTTACTTTTATTCCCTCATTAGTAAAATTCTGTCGACTTTCTATATCTATTCTATTTTCTACAAACGATTTCTGTCTACACATATATTATTATTATTATTGTTGCATAATAGTTTCTGCAAAATATACATGTTTGTTTTGATCTAGCAACCCTAAAACTGTTTCATTTTAGGAGAGGACAAGAGAAGATAATCAAACTCCCGCTCAAAGACAAGCTGCTGCCAAATTAGCTCTTAGAAAGCAGTTAGAAAAAACCTTACTGCAGGTATTTATTAATTTGATGTTTTATCAATAATAAACTAATTCGATTTCCTATTTCAGATACCTCCACCAAAACCACCACCTCCCGAGATGCACTTCATACCCAATCCGAGCAACACTGAATTTATTTATCTTGTAGGGTTAGAACATGTTGTTGATTTCCTCACCAAGGAAACGAAAATACCGCTTCCTCCACAGACTTTTGCCTGTAGTCAGTGTCAATCAGATTTTACTCCTGTCTGGAAATGGGAATCGAGTAAAAAGAATAAAGGTAAGAAAATAAAATAGCATTTTTCTTTAATCTGGATATTTGTTAAAATTAACACAACAATTTTCTCAAAAAGTGTATAATAATGAGAATCACATGGATAAATAACAAGGCAATCATCTAAGATTGTCATTAATAAGTGGCTGACGGAAAAATATCTAGAAATCGTACTTTTTTTTTATTTGGCCTCAAATAAAGCCAAGTGGCCAAGTAAAAAATATTCAAACTAATCTTGTTCCATTGAAAATGTCGACATATACCGTAATCTGCTTTCTTTGGTGAATTAAGATCATCAAACCCATCTGAATGGTATACATTCTGGTATCCAGTTCACAATGGAGCTGGAAACTGATTCATCCCTACCCTTTCTCGACGTTATCATAAAGAAAAACCAATCCAAAGGTTTTCATCACTATGTTTATCGAAACCCGCCCATACCAATCGTTACTTGCATGCCAACTCTCATCATCCACCTTCACAAATTAATTCAATCATTAACACCCTTATTTCCAGATCAATACGCCTTTGCGATGATGCAAGTAGACCCGCTGAGCTCTCTAGTTTAAAACAATCCCTCATCCAAACGGTTACCGCGAAAATCACATCAACAGGAGCATTCACAGACATCAATCTCCCACTCAATCTCAACCCAAAGACTCAGACCTTTATCATACGAAAGTTTTTCTTTCTTACATCAAAAGGAATAAAGGCACTATTTACCCACCAACAAAAACTTTCATCTCTTGTCCGATCAGTCAAGGATAATATTCCAAATGAACAACACGGAGTTTATGAAATTCCTTGTTCAGACTACCCACGGCCATCTTATATATAGGCCAAATAAATCGTAGAATCCAAAATGGGATTTATGAACATTCCAAATTTTAAAGTGAAAATTTTCGAAACATTCGGGGTGTAGTTGCATTCTACATCTTTTACATGAATAAATAGTATTACTTTTTCATATCTTACTTTCTTGCACTATCGTCTCTTTTTGTAATGTGGCCAATATTGTCGAATCTGGTTTCATCTGGTAAAGCAAATGTAGATTGACGTCCATGTACTAAGTTTGACACTGATGTAACGGTTTCTTCACTATTGTAAATTATAAATATAAATCTATATCGGCTCATATTTCTCTTATAATGTGCACTTCTTTATCCTCATCCTTTGGCCAATGCATATCAACTTGAAGCTGAGTGTGAACCAGATAATATACATATGCTAATATTTTTTTTAAATCTGTGTTATTCATTTCAAAATCGTGACGGATATTCTGCGATGCATAAATATTTGTAAAATATAGAATGCTCGCAATTACTTTTTTATCAAAAAAGTAATTTACTATTTTTGCCTGGTTTTTTCTTTGATGTTTTATCTGTGGTTCAGGGGAATATTATAATCCGAATCGCCAGAATTCCCAATCACTTGTATTTCATATGTACCTGCAATATCGGATTTGATTGATTCTTCACAAATAATATTATCATCGATGTCTTCTACATCAGAAACTTTCTAATCTAATTTCGGCGGCAAGTAAACCACAGTAGTGAATTAGCATTTTCACAATCTGAGTATTTTTCTAACAAAGCTATTAGCTCTTTAGTAGTTAGTGCCATATTCATTTCATATTTCGAGAATTTACTGAAATAAACAAATACACTACTATATACACGTATTCACATGATAATAGTTTAGCCTTAGCTTACTTCATTTTAATTTATATATACTTCATAATATATTTTTATATTTATATAAACAAATAAACGCAAGGAAACTTTCAAATTAAGAAAAACAAATACAACGTTTACAGCACACAGCAATTCTATAAATAATAGAGAATGAAGAACAACGACAAGATCGTGTGTTAAAATTTTCAGATTGTTTCGTCTAATGAAAAAAAAAATATATATATTTTTCAAAGTTTTCTGTTTTTTGAAGTACTGCATTAGGTACTCTATAATAACAATAATTTTACTTTATTTTGTTAGACAACTATAAGATACCTGTTAAAAGACCATCGAGCAATAAGACAAAAGAGGGAATCTAATCCTTATGAAAAGGAGACCAAAAAGGTGGCCTCTGATGGCGGACATATCCGGAAATGCGAATGCGCCAAATTTAAATTTTCCGACACTTATCAACAGTAGCTATATAATATTTTTCAGAATGTGTCTTAGACGAGAAAGTTTTAATTAATTATTAACGATAATAGTCTAAAATGCGACACAATTGTTAAAAAACTTCAATATAAATAAGATTTCATGTGACATTTGGGACAAACAATAACATAACCCAACTAAATTTTATGTCAAACAAGGAGAGAGACTCTCTTTCCTTGTTTAATGTGGCCTCTAAAGATCGCACTTCCTGTCTAACAATATGTTTGCCCCCACTACCTTTACATTCCCTCTTTTGTCTTTTTGCTCGATGTAAAAGACACATGATAATAATTATATCGGTCTTAGATTTAATTTTTACGTAATTACTTATGTGTTTAAATAAATATTTAAAAAATTTTTTGGTCGCCTGCAAAATTGATAAGTGGAATATGATATCGTTGAAAAGTTATCGTTAAGGGCTTCGTTAAGTGCGATGTTGCCAATTAAAAATTGTTTTAGTATATAAATATATTAGTATTATACATCATTCTAATTAAGGCATTTTTTAGGATCTAAATCAGTCATCTGTGAGCAATGTGTGACAAATAACGTGAAGAAAGCACTAAAGGCTGAGCACACCAACCGGTTGAAGACAGCTTTTGTCAAAGCTTTACAACAGGAGCAAGAGATAGAGCAGAGACTTGCCCAAGTGAGTATGTTTCGTAACCAAACAAAAACAAAATTGCATATTAATATACTAAATGGTTTCTCTTCTGTATTGAATCATTATCTTTGTAACTTACTGTGTTGTCATCTTTTATATTCCTTCTTCCTTTTCACTGAGATGAATTGTTTTTATAGATAAGATTATTTTAATATTACGATCAATTTACCATGTAAATAACTTAACAACTACAACATTACAGACAAATAGGAAGCTATCCCCGTTCCTATTGTTACTTTTTGTTAGCTAAAATTATTGAATTGCCAGATGTGTTGACTTCACTGTACTCTAAAATCTATTAGTATACAATATACATAGCATATCAAAATGACACACAAACCAACTGCAGTGCCTTCAAACTCTAGTTGAAAAGTCTATCGAATATAATAGACCCCTGGTTCTTATTTTTAAATTTCACAAACCATTTGACACAGTGCAAAAATCAGAAATCAGAATATATACTACAGGTATGCGAATATTATTTGAGGTACGTACTTATTTATTTAGCGTATGGATAATTACAATACGATAAAAGTAGTATTTAGATAATAATTATGTTCAAATTGGAATTGTAACCTAAGTTAAATATTAAATATTAATGTCCAAGTTGCACAGCCATTCAATTGCACCAGGAGAACACTCTGCAAAATCTTGAAGGTCTCCGCTGTATCTGCGGATTGGGCAATCCGCCATGATGTGTTGGATGGTCTGTCTCGGGGATCCACAATCACATTGTGGGCTTTCTGCATGACTCCATCGGTATAGAGAATCGGCACATTTGCCATGACCCGTGCGTATGCGATTTAATTTTGTCCATATAGGGCGTGGCAGGTTTGATCCAGTGAAGCCGATCGACGTACTTGTTATTTTGATGACGTCTGGCTCTGTTGTTGGCATCCATCTTTTCGTCCACTGCTCTTGTTTATTGTAGCTATCACCCATTCCCTGAACGGATTGGACAGGGGGTCGTCTGGACTTCAGTCTTTGTTGGTCTCGTGCGGCGTGCGGAATATACTGGTGAATTGGCAGACGATTATTTGCCATGATTTTCTGATATTCTCTGACAAGTGCTGCCGTTCGTCGAATATCTGGAGGTGCTATATTGCTCAGAATTGAAAGCCATCTTAGTGGAGTTGATTTAATAGTACCAGATATTACTCTCATAGTGTAATTTAGTTGAACATCAATCTTGTTGACATGAGCGCTATTTAGCCATACCGGTGCGCAGTATTCAGCGACAGAATACACCAGGGCCAGTGAGGAGGTTCGAAGTGTATCCGCAGTGGCCCCCCATGTCGTTCCAGCAAGCTTTGTTATTATGTTGTTACGGGTTCTCACTTTGGCAGCACATTCGTAAGATAGGTTTTGAACGTCAGTGATCTGTCGAGCGTTACACCCAGGTATTTAGGGTTGTTATTATGTTTCAAAGTCTCGCCATTGAAGGTGATGCTAAGGGTGTCATTCGAAAGCTGATTTGTGAGATGGAAGAGGCTTGTCTCAGTTTTGTTGGTATTAGGGCGAAGTCGCCATTGTTTAAAGTAGTCGCAGACAACCCTTAAGTCTTCGGTAAGCGCCATTTCTCCAACATCTTTGGCTTGGTTTTGAAATGCGATAGCCAGGTCATCTGCGTAAGCAAATTTTTTTGATTTTGTCTCTGGAAGATCGGCTGTGTAAATGTTAAATAATAGTGGAGCAAGCACTGAACCCTGTGGGAGGCGATTATTTAGCTTTCTGACATTGCTCTTTGTATCGTTTATATATACTTGAAACAGTCTGTTGGTTAGGAGGTTATTGATTAGTTGGCAGGTTTTCAGGCATGGTATGACCTTCATTAGCTTGTAGATCAGGCCTTCTCTCCACACAGTGTCATATGCAGCCGTCAGATCTATAAACGTTACGGCTGTTTTTTCCCGTTTTTCGAAACCGGCTTCAATACATGTCGTTAAGGACAGTACTTGATCAGTACAGCTACGCCCGCTTCTAAATCCGGCCTGTTCGACTGGTATCACAGTGTCGGTGATGGGGTATATCCTGTTATATATAAGTCGCTCTAGTAGTTTGTAGCAGCAACTGAGGAGGGCAATGGGTCGATAGTTTTCGGGTAGTTCACCGTCCTTTCCAGGTTTTAAAATTGCAATAACTTTGGTTCTTTTGAACTCTGGAGGTAGTACAGATGTCTTCATTATGTCACTAAAAAAGTCTTTGATCCAGTGTCGCGTTTTTGGACCACAGTGAATTAGGAACTCAGGATACATTCCATCGAAACCTGCCGATTTGCCTTTTTTAATTTGACTGAGGTACGTACTAAAAAAATAAAACGATGGGATCGTCACCGCTTGCCGTCGGTCGACCCTCTGTATGCTCGCACTTCTAACAATCTGCCAACAATATAAACCTTCTAACTTAAAACTTCTAACAATATAAAACGCCGTAAGCCACAACAGAGAACCGAGTTCGATCGGGTAAGAGGTCTTATCTCGGGTCTCTGAGTACTGATCAGAACCCACCGTCCTCAACTAGACTAAGTAATGATCAGTCGTTCCTCGGTTTTTGGGTATTGGTCGAAGACCGTCCTTTGCCTCACCCATCTGAGTGTCGCTAATATTTATTTTTCACTGGTATGAACATCGGATTGCAGCCATTTTTCCATTGTATATCATTAATCCTTTTTAAACTTGAAATTCATATAGAATCATCACAGTAATGTGTTCATTCTTAAATATATAATAAACTATTTATTTCATATAAATTTTGTTGTTTTCAGAATGGAGTGTTTACGTCCAGCAGTCCGGCTCCATCGCCAGTAACTCCAGAAGCTTTACCGAAAGCTGTTACTCCGACTCCTGCTCCCCGACATGCCCCTACGCCTCCAGCACCTGCTCCTCCCCCACCTCAACCTACTCCTCCTCCTCCAAGGAATTCGCACCCACCCAGTCATTCTTCCGCATCTTCGGCCGCACAAGATAAATACACACAACAGCAGAATGCAGCAGCTATGCAGGCATTGCATCAGCAAATCTTGAGAAGTAAGTTCCTTAATTAATTAATGAATCTAAAAGCTTTTAAAACATTAAAAAACGGTTAATTTTGATATATCTAAGTCTTTTACTTCATTCTATTGTTTTTGTGCTTTAAATTACTATTTTTTTTATATTCCAATTTTCATCCACCACATTCTTTGACTCATTGTTTTAATTTATATTTTTATGAAGTATTAGCTATGGTTATGAAATGTAAAAAATATCTTAGTAGAAATTGTAGCTTAACGTATATGATGGGATTGACACAACATAGAAAACAAATTTAGAATACTTTTTTGTTCGGAAGTCCTTCAAACACATTTCGGATCATAGTTTTTTCTTCGCGGGTTAAATTTTTACGTTTCTTTTTGATACACGTTTCACTATTACTACTGTACGTCATATTTAATATTTGTCATCAAATTAAATTAAACTAAATCTGTTCACTGATTTACGAAACCACTATCAGTGCGCTTATGAAACTGACTTACAGATAGTATAAAATAAAATAACTACCCGAACAATGGCGTTGTTGTCAGTTACATCGTCTTAATCTGGGACGAAATTGTTTACCTCAGATTATCTATCGTTAAAGAAAGATTGCAGATCATTGCAGATAACTTTAATAGCAGATAAACTCACTCAAATTGGACAAGAGGTTTAGGAAATTCGAGACATCAAAAATGTTAAAATTTTAAGGTTTCCGTTAATTTTGCTGCTCAGTGTATGATTCTCTTGGCGGTCAAGAACAGAATGGAATGACGAGCTACTTTTCGACAACGATGTACCTTGCCCATCGAAATTACGCCAAATGCCGAGTGATCATATGATCAAATCCAGCCAATAGAAAAAAAACTTATGCCTAAAAATTATTGCTTTCTGAAATAGATAGAATAAAAAATATAAGTTATTTGGATCGTTATACTCAGTTTCATAAGTACGAACAGATGAACTTTCATTATAGTGTTGAAACATGCCCATCGTGCTGATTTTAATTTAGGCATTTTTTATATTAGCATTGGCAAGGTTAGCAACCTACCAATCGTAAAAAACAAAAACTGCTCAAAGAAACAATGTACAGCCTCGGAACTGGATTGATACTATGAAGACGACTACTGCAAGAAATAAGGACAACCGGAAAACATCCAAAGCTCAGATGAGAATCACTACTTGGAATATCAGATCACTCAATTCAAGGGACCAAGAAATAACCCAAGTGCTGAAAGAGAAAGAAATAGACATTTGTGCTCTACAGGAAATAAAAAGGAAAGGAAAAGGTCAATCAAAATTAGGCCAATTCATACTAATCTACAGTGGAGTAGCAAAAGAAAACGGCCAAAGAAGGTGTAGCCTTATAATACACCAAAGGCACAAAAATCACATCAAAGAGTGTCAATACATATCAGAAAGAATAGTAACAGCAAAGATAAGAATGGAGAAGGAAGACCTGAACATCATCGGAATATACGGCCCAGAAAATAGCAAGCCTCGAACAACAAGGGAAGCGTTTTACGACCAATTACAACAAGTAGTAGATCAAGTCCGAAGGAAAGATGATAATATTGGGGGATTTTAACGCTTGAATAGGCAATCAAGTAATAACCGGCATTAAACAAAAACATAACGAGACTGTTAAGAACGAAAATGGAGAGCTGATGATCAACTTCTGCACGAATAACGAACTAAGAATAAACAACACATTTTTTGACCACAAAGACCAACACAAATATACATTTAAAAACACCCGTGGACAAAGATCTATAATAGATTATGTTCTAACAAACAGAGATATACATCCATCAAAAATAATCGACGTAAGATGCCTCAATTCAGCAGATGTAGATAGCGATCACAGCCTAGCATTATGTAAAATAAGAAAAATCCTGAAATACTTCCCATCCAAAAGAGCGGCGCCAACATAAACAAAAATCAAAGTCGAAGGACTAAATACTGAATCCACGAAATACTTATACAGTCAATACTTAAAACAGTCATCAGACCAATAATGGCATACGCGGCAGAAACAAGACCTGATACAGAGAGGACAAAAAGGATGTTAGAAACAGCAGAGATGAAATAACTTAGAAAAATTGATGGTAAGACACTATGGGACAGAGCTGTACAGATAAACGACATAGATACAAGGTGGAGAACATCAAAAACTGGGGAATGACAACAAATCGAATAGTAAAGACGTCAAGAGACGGTACCCAATAGGAAGACGATCAGTAGGAAGACCACGAAAACGATGAATCGACAACTTACTGGAGCCACATTGACAGAGTCATGTCTATATAACAAGAAGAAGAAGTTTTATTAAAAAGTAATTAACTTGTTATCTAGATGTAGCTTGTTGAATAGTGACAATTCAGCCTTTTGCATAAGGAGAAATCTGTAAAATTAGTGTAGCATAAAAAAATATTGTTTTTAAAAATACTGTTGTCATTTTTATTTTTTATTTACATATATACTGAAAACTTATTTTCAACTGAAATTTTGTTTAATACCCATTTAAGATACTAAATAATTTTAGTTTTATTTAAGTAACTAATGGAAGTCTAAATCTTACAATCGTTTTAGGTTTATCTGCTGGTGCTCCTCCCGCCGCGGCCGCACATATGCTCCAATTTTCTCCGCTGTTCTATCCTTACCAACTGGCAATGGCTCAAGCAGCTGCTAGTGGCAAAAATAGCGGTGGCGGCAATTTGGCCGAGATCCAACGAGCTGCAGATTTACACCGTCAGTACCTTCTTGACATGATCCCACCTCCAACCCAGCCGCAACAACGCCACAACTGGAAAACATGATGCGAGAGAAATTGGGAGTAAAATATAAACATTTCTATAATTGTGAGAACCTGTAAATTAGTCGTAAAATGTGAATTTTTAACATGTACTGGTGGTTTCAGCTCTATCCGTTTAATTATGACATTTTTTGGATCTTTATGACTTGCACTCTATGACCCAAATTTTTTCTGTTCTTAGCATAGCTCTGTTTTTCTCTTTTTCTGAAGACGATGGTAATTTTGATCTTTCTCCTTTAGTATTTACCTTATCTTCCTCATTATTTTCTTATTCCTTCTGGTCTTTGTAAAAATTCTCGCAACTATATTTCCCCAGGTTTTACTGTCTTCTGCTTTCTTCTAGTCTTAGAACAAACAAGAACCAGAATAAAACTGAGTTTTGGTTGAAGAATATCGCTTATCGAAGACCAGAAAGAATAAGAACCTATTAGAATTGTTTTTGCATAATTGCGTTACGTCAAAATAATTCAATGGTTTTTATTATCACTATCAAAGAACGAATCACTATCATTTTCAATATTACAGTAACTCAAGTTTATAATTAGTGGATTTACGTCACTTTCAAAGTCAACGTCCAGCTCTCTTCCTAAATAATGAACTCATTTCGAATCACATCCGAATATTGATTTTTTTTCATCCACAGTATTGTGATGAATAAATATTTAGTAAATGTTTATAATATAAATGTTTATTAAAATGGAAGACATTTTTTTATTTGTCATTGCTGCTTTATTGAAACATAGTTTTTAATCGTTAAACTCACTTCAAAAAACGAACCTGCAGTATGCGACAATATTAATATCTGCTATAACATAAACTTATTAGTTACTAAACATATACTAAAGCTCATGTGAAGAGAAGGAAGGATTATCAACTCACCTCTTATTTGAGATGTTTTATCTTTAGCAGCCTTCAATATATTCACCTTACATTTTAAATTCTTGGGACAATTATAAACATTAACACTGTTTCACGTGATTAACTGGTTTATAAGCGTTTCTACTTCTCTGCGTGGAAGAGATTTATAGAAACATTGTCTAATATATACAAATTAAACACTTTTATAATATTAGCAGATAGTCTCAGATACGTCAATAAATGAATGTCCAACTTAACCCTCCATCACTCGCACCTCAAAAAATTACGCCAGCACTCGCCTGTTAGATTTTATCTAACATATGGGTATAGGTCAAATAAATGTGTCATTAGTACTTATTGTTTAAGTTTATTGGCTATTAACTCACAAAAAACGATAAACTTATATTTTTTTAAAATAAAACTGCAAAAAACTACTAGGTAAACTAAAAATAATATACGCATTACGCATAAAATTAGATTTCTTCCTCTTCTAGGTAGTGGTGGCAAGTAAAAGGTTGTGTGAGGTTGTAATCAGTAACAATCTCTGGCTTCATGGTATGCTCTTTGGTGCGAGTGATGGAGGGTTAAGGCTCGCTTGGGTCATTTGAATCTGCATTGGTATTTTCGTTGCATCTAATTGTTGATCTGCATCGGTACAGGTGCCGACTCAGACCAATCTACAGAGCCCGAGGATACACGAAGTCTATAAAACAGCATACATATTCGACAAACATAGTTAGGGGGAGTGCTGCCGCATCGCCGTTGATAGTCTGCACCATGATACTATGAACTAAAGATAAACCCAAGCGCATGCGATCAGTCTATCTCTTTTGCACGTGTGACGTCACTTGGCGACAAATATCACCAGAAATGTTCTGTTTTGCATGGAGTTTTGTCAGATTTAGTTTTGTTTTATCGTTTATCTAGTACGTTGACAAATAAATGTGTGCACTTTATATAAAATATATTTCAGAATATTAAATTAAAGATAAACTTTTATCGCCAAGTGATGTCATGCGCATCGACGTGCAAAATTCGATTGCGAAGTGGTTTTATCTTGGAAGTCATAGTATCATGGTCTGCCCGATACATCAGGAACAAATAATCCTAGGTCATGACTTCTGTCTTATAAGTTGAAAAACAATGTATCGTTAGAAAACTTCTACCGCAAACGCCCACTTCTACAACTATTTATGCCATTCTACAAAGTTGTCTCAGATGTTAACATTTTTATGTTACTTATGATATTTTCTAGACTACTTGTTTAATATAGATGGATTAAATGTCGTAATATGCGGGATCTGGAACCCCAGTACAAGTGTAACGGAATTAAGTCCTCAATACAATAAAATAAACGTTTCTACATTTGTGAGTGGACTTAATTTGACTTTTATAAAATTTCTCTTCCAATTCTTTACATCAAATGTAACTTAAACGCAATATGTGTTTTTCAGTTCAAGAAGTAAATTTATATTTTGACTTGATAATCAATCGTAAAATGGAAGCTTTGCTACCTACATTAACCGATTTTTTATTTTCTTGTAAATAATAAAACAAATGAAAGTGAGACTTGAATGCTGCTATCAGAATCGTTGATATTTTTTTAGAAAGTCACTTTTATTTATATTGATTGTGATAAGTTTACAAAAGTTTATTTCTCTAGCACAACAAAATCGTTTAATTTCAAAATATTTCTCGTGCAAGGTTTAGAAACGTGTCTTACCGGTGATTTTAGTTGAGAATAATAATTGAAACTTTGCACGATAATTACATAAAAGATATAAATCTTATTTATTAAAGGGAAATATATTGACTATAACATTATTGTCCTCCTAAATATCTGAAAAGTAATAATAAAAATAATATGGCTTTGGCTACTTTCTATAGGTTTAGTATAATTCATCTTCAAAAAGATCCGTTAATTTCAGCTCTAAGCTGTCGTCTAAAATAGAACGTAATATCTAACATCGATACGTTTTACTCATGATACAATGAACACAAGGTATGGTATTGCGAATGACATTTGACAGCTGAGCCAGGCGTGTGACGTAGCCAAGAACCCTCGGATCCATTATTTGTAATGATAATTAACGAGTTTTTTGACATTGTAGCAATTTACCGCGTTTTTTCTTCAGTTAAAGCATTATAGTGTCTTAAAAAGTACCTGTGGTGTTTAGTTGCTGTTTAGTTATTATATTGTATAGTAGTTTTTTTGTTGTTCACTTGTTTTTAGTGCCTTGGGTAACAATGAAGCAAAAACGAAGTATGTACCTCGACGTTTGATGGAATGCACAAATTAGCAATTCGTTCGGGGGCAGTACGTAACAATGATAGCAGCAAAGGTTACACAATATAAATTCGAAGAAGTCACAACAGAAGTTAACTGTCAAGAAGAAATACAGAAAAGAATTATTTCTGACAACCGCGCTGTATATGCTCTTAATGGGTTGTTATGAATCAAAAATATATCTCGAAGAGCAAAACTAAGGACATACAAGACTGTAATAAGGCCAATAGTGACATATGCTTATGAAAAATGGGTCACAGTGAAAAAACACCAAGGTTTTTATTAGTTTGGGAGCTTAAAATCTGGTGGAAAAAAAAATGGACAATGGATAAGAACAAATATCGAGCTAACGGAGCTTTATTAAGAACCCAACATATTTGCTTTAATTTATGTTCAAAGACTAAGATGGTTGAACCATGTGCAGAGAATGATTCCATCTAGAATTCCCAGAATAGTCTAGTGCATTGTTAGTCAAAAGACGAAGAGAAAGACCGAGGTCAAGATGAAGCAACAAAGTTAAAGAAGATGTGAGAAGACTTAACGTAACAGACTAGGAAAGAAATGGGAGTGTTTAAAACATTGTGCAATATTGTATAACCTCGCTACATTCATATTCGATGGGCAGCTAACTCATCCGATCTAAATAAAGTTGACTTTATCATTATTTATTTTGATTTTGTGTTTAGTTCAGTACATACATAAACATTTTGTATACCTAAATTACAAAATGATTTTAAAATTTTTAGCTGTACTCGACTCATTTTTATGTAGATACACTTTTTTGTATCTTTTTTTTGTAACTACAATATTGAACTCTGGAGAATAAGTTAATCAACCCAAAAATCAGTAAAATTAAATTAACTACAAAATATTTTTATGATTAAATATTATATTAACACAAATTTATCATCTCTTAATAATTACTATAATTAAATTAACCAAATTATTTAAAAAAGAACTTGAAGTCTTTCCTATACAACTACATTCAAATGTTGCGTGAAGAAGCGTTCTTGACTACGTCATGCGCGAAGCGAACCGATTTTGGAACATTATGTATCATACCTTGTGTTCATTGTACTATGCATTTTACTAACTAACTTTTTTCTTCCCCTGTCCTGCTTCATTATCTTGCGTTGACTATCAAATTGGCTATACTAATTTTATTAACGGCAGCTCTGAAACGTAGATGCAGGGGATCTCTTAAACAATTCCCTCGTTAAAGCATATACGGAGAAGCCTTAACTGCGGCGCGTCGCTTACGGGGCTAACCTCTAAACTATAATCCATATTCCTTCTTTCCATGGTTTTAGCAAGGTTTTTACTGCCGGATGCCCTTCCTGACGCAATGGGAGCAGCACTAATTATTACAGAGCTATTTTTTTGGACTTTTTAATCTTTTGGACACTGTGCCATGTGGAATGGGCATAAGAAGATGATGGCGTATATTATCGAAAGCCTTTTGGTAGTTGATAATACAAATAAATACGTCTACATCATACAAATGTAGAGGCATGAGGACAAGACAAGACAAGAGGTAGAAGACTCATGTATGAGGTTTATTCTAGACCATTGGAAAGTTAGGTCAAAAATGTAACTTACCACATAGAAAACTATATATTTTGAGAAACTACTGATATAGTTATTAGTTGCTAAATATTACCGTGATTTACTTAGTCATGCAGATATCTGCTATGTTTAAATACAATAGAAGAAAAGTTGATTTTTTACTAGTTTTTATTTCGCAAAATTAACACTTAATACTAGACCTAAAATAAAATTTTACGCTATAAAAATACATAATACTTTGAAGTTAAACGATTTGGATGACATCGATTATCTGGCAAAAGCTGACAAAACAGAAATTCTGTTTAATAATTTTTTGGGGGATTAAATCTAGTCTTTATTTTTTAGTATTAATGTTATTTTGAATAAAAAACAATTGGTTTCCTTCTATTTATTTCGATCAGTTGAATAATTAAATGACTGGACTTTTAATTCATAATTGGTAGTTGTCCAATAAAGTAATATATAAACAAGAAATTATTTTATGTCGTTCTATACAAAAAAAAGATCCCTCCAAGATTTTCTCAGATTTGTTTTTTTTACGTAGTAATTGCATTATTTGTTCTAAGAGATTGTAATCTCTAATTTTTTTAATTCGTACAATATCTAGAAATGTATTTTTTTTTTTATTTTTAACTGCTGTTTTATATAAGATTTTTTTATTGTTTATTATGTATTATTTAAAAAAAATCTCGTACAATGGAAGACCTCAATCTGTTTCGAAGTGTGAACATGCTGTATACCAAACCAAGCTTTATCATAAGAAATAATGCAAAAATGATTAATCCGTTCTCATGTAAAAAAATCTTTTTAATATATTACAATAATGGGGTTATCAAAAAATTTAAATATTGTTTCAAGAACATTAATGGAAAAATAAATGTTATAAGTTTTTAAAGTTATTGTGTTGCATTGTATTATTTAAATCATTAAATCAAAATAAAATTAAACTTTCCTTAATGCCAAAATATAAAAACAAAGACAAACAATTTTCTATTCTGTTGAAGTCCTTTATTAGACTTTCTCGTCTTTTACATTTTTTGTCTTGACACGGAGACAAGAAGAGAGGACTCAGTAATCAGTGACTCTTCTATAAAAATATAAAGGAAACAAGCAGAAGGTGATCCTGGTGGCGGACTCTGCCTCTGTCTCAGATAGGTCTTAATAGCTCGGTAAGTAGCTTCGGCAGAACTAACTGTTGCTATGAAGAGGTTCGATTTAGCCCTAATACAAGAGTCCTGAGTATACCAGGGCCAAATAGAAAAATAATTTATCGTTCAGAGATACAATATCCTGCACTATAGGGCCGTAGATTCCACGTTCTTTTTCAGTTATCACTGGTGGCCGCAAATTGTTCAAATCGAAGCTCATTGTTCTCTTGTTATATTGAAAGTTATTTTTCCAGGGCTTTGGCAACGTCCATTTTAAAGAAGGATGTATATTGTTTTTTTGGAATGTTTTTAAAATGTCCCCCTTTGGTTTTCAGAGTTGACTCTCTATCTCTTGCAATGCCAACTGGTGTTTTCCAAGAATAAAAGGGTTGTCTATCCTTCTTTGGTTTATGGTTTGGGAATGACTGCTCTTTTGTGGTATGTTTTCTTGTTTGCCGTTTTCTTTGCTCAGTAAACAGAACAGTTTCATTATAATTGAAAACCTTGCACCATTATGTCGTAAAAAGGCTTTTTGATTATATTTATGTAATTGTAAACTTGTTGGGGAATAACACTCATTTTTTTTTGCACAAACTCTGTAGGTTAGGTTAGCTTAGCTTCAATATAAGTTTGAGCTTCTTTTGCTTTACCTAAGAGGTCTATTCTGACTCACCCTAGTTTAAAATTGTCCCTTCAGCTCGGCCTTTCTAGCAAAGTCTACTATGACCTTAGATGACACTCTATGAAGTCTTAGGACTCGAGTTGATAATGTTTAAAGGTATTAAGCCTTATCCTATCCAATCCTGGGCAGTTACACAGAACGTGTTCTGCCTTCTCGTCATCAACCTGACAGTATACCACCATTAATATGCCATTCTCATGCAACTCATATTATTCCCTTTGTGGAAAAAAGGATGGTAAGTGACTTTACGAAATTATATTTAGGTTATATTGCATCTGGTATAATTTCTAATTCTGGATGATTTTTAATTATCTCCAAATGTGTCTCCGGTATCCTTTCGTCCTGCTTCCTGACGTCTTATACGCCTTCTGTATGCTCCTATATTCTCCTCCTCCATCCATATATGTAATGGAGGGAAGTTAAGTCTGACCTCCATGGAGGTGGTTGGGGTATTTGACCTCGCTCCTGTTATGATTAAACATGTTTGTCGTTGAAGCCCATTCAGCTTCTCTTTGGTGGTCTTTTGTTTTCATTGAGACCACCATATTAGTGCGCCATATGTAATCATAGGTCTGACTAAAATCATATATAACGAGTACATTTGCTTCGGTTTCATACCCCATGTTTTCCCAAATATCCTTTGCCATATTCAAAGGGAAAACATTGCTTTTTGGTTATTCTTACCAAATGGAC